CGGGACCGGGAGAGGTTTAGAACTCTCCCGGCCCGCCAGGCCCGGGCACGGGCCAGGCAGCGCAGGCGACTCAGGCGCCGGAGGTCGCAGAACGACCTCCGTCCTCCATAAGCGCAGGCCTGGGGGTGACAGGTGAGGCCATCTGTCACCCTAGCAGAAGCAGGCCGGGGTGGCGGCGAGCGCGTTGCGGAGCGCGCTCGCTTCCAGGGAGCACAGGGAACATGGGGTTCCCACACGGGGCGGGGATCGTCTACTCGTCTGTAGATGACCCGAGGTATGTCGGGGCACCAGGGCCTTCCTTTCTAGGGTATACCTGGTTCCCCGGCTATTAGTACCCGGCGAAGGCGTGCGGTTTTAGTCGGTTCGTGTCCGACATGCCACCGACAGGTGGTATCCGAGGGGATTTCCGCACGGAAAAAAAAAAAAAAAAAAAAAAAAAAAAAAAAAAAAGGTACAATTGTTTATTAAAATATGTTTTTGAAATGAAGTGGAATTATATTTATTTCTACAAGTAAATCTTTTCAAATATTTTTACAAGTCCGATTTTACAGCTAGAAGGCGCCAGCATTTCCTAAGACTCTCTCTAAGAAGAAAAGTCGAAACAAACCACAGAGGTGTTTTTTATTTTAAGTCCGTGTACAGTGTTAAAGAGAACTGCGTGAGTTCAGTATAGGGTCTGGTTTTGAAGAATGAACAATAGTTTTGAGTCTTCCCGTCCATACAGACGGCATACGGACCCCAGTCATCGTGTAGCCTAACCGAAATAGGATCAACAACCCGGAACACGACACTACTTCCAGCAGGACACTTGAGTAGGCCGTGGAAACACTCAAAACCACCAGAAAGCTACTAAAATATGAATTGCATACTTACACAAAAAAAAAACTTTACAATTTAATTTCAACGAAAAAATAAATAAATTGAAAACTAACCTTGTGTTGATTACTTATATATCTTTTCTTAGAATCACTTTATAATTATTATTTACATAGCGTCACATAATACTAGTCAGTAGGCAGCATGCAATTTTTGTTGCATTTCACGCAGTTACCGGAGACCCAAAATTTCAGGCGAGGGGAAGTTTCACTCAAAGGCCAATGGTAGAGGGGTTACACTTACAACCTGGTGACCTATCTGCTCGTCCACCCCATACCATACAAAAATACATAGAAAAGCATTAAACTTATTTCCTTTTCGTCCCTTTCGTGCATTTCCAAAAAATATTTTTAGTATTGGTTGCACCCGGCGTCAGATTTAAGCATAGTTAAGTAGATGGCATTGATCGAGCGCGTATTAAATCTTTATTTGTTTATAATAAATTAACCCACAGCACAGTATAAATCTCTTGTCAGTATTAAAAAAAGAAGACAAACGTACTGCCGTAAATCTATGACCATAAGTAAGTTTAACAAACCTTCGATAAGATTATGGAGAATGCGACTCGAGATCGAACTCGGCCAGATGTGTGCTTGTATGTTATGGATAAATATATATTCCAAAATAATGAACGTGAACCACGGTGGTTTTAATCAATATTAGTATATACATCATTTAAAAGAAAATGCGATCAATAACCTTTTTTTATCGCAAAATGATTGTCAGACATTAAATAAATTCTTTCCATGTAAATATTTATGTTTTTTTGTCATTATATCGAAGTTTCATATCAATCATTCCCATGTTAGCTTGCAAACACCTGTAGGAAAAACTTAGACATTAGACGTAATGCTACTTATTACCTAAAGACTATCCTAACTTAATATTATAAATGTAAACATGAGTTAATTTCTTATACTTTTACGCATCGACTATTTAATCATCATCATCGTAAAATTTTGCATACATGTTGTCAGAAGTAAAACCAAAACCTTTTTTGAATTATCAGAGGTAGGAGTCAGAATTTGTCAGTCGTAAAGCTAGGCGGTACGTTAAGTTACTTATTGCATTGTATGTATAGTACCTACAAAAAGGACTAGGGTATCTTTCATGTAGAAGAAAGTGCCGTCCCATAAGGCTAAAGAATTCTTTTTTTAATTTTCAGAAAAATTGAGTGGTCAAAATAAAAAAGTAAATAAGCACGTGTTCAGTCAGTCAGTCACTAAATATTTTATCCAACTAAGGTGATAATTATTACTAGACTAATACAAATACAAGACATTCCTCGTAACGAACTCTGGTGACCGTTGGGGTCAGCAAACAAACAACAATAACATGTCTAATTGAATATGGTATGTTATAACTACTTTCAAGAAACTTCTAAATTTCATTGACTGCACGGATGGCGCAGTGTAGTAGTTTAGGCGGTTGCCTCGCGACTTCCTACTGCGTTGAGTGTTATGGGTTCGATCCTCACATGGGACAACACATTGTGTGATCCACAAATTGTTATTCTGAGACTGGGTTTTGTTTGTGTCGGTTTTATGAATTTTTGTAAAGTCCCCTGCGACACAGGATATATTGCCAGTGCCGAGAAATACTCAGTACATCTTTGTCAAAAAAATGACAGCAATAAACCATAGCGAAACATTTTACACTATAATTTATAATTATAACAAAGCTGTATTAAAAACTTCATTAAATCAACAATAGGTAGTAAAAGTCTACATAAACCTTCAATAGTTTTATTTGAAACACTGAAGTGAGCGCGGCCTATTTTATGTCACGAACACCAACTCGGACGACATGCTCCACAACTTTCCGTAAAGCAATGGAGCGGTGTTAGCGTAATATATTTTTATAGGAGTACACTATATTATGTCTATTCTTTTATTTTGTTTTTGTTCTTCTTGCACCATAGTTTGCAAAGTTCAATTTTAGAATATGCAGTTAGATATAGATTATAACTGTCAATTTTTATTTGATTTGATACTGTTTATATTGAGGAACAAACAGTCATTACATGTGAAGATTAAACATATTTGTATGTACTTATAGACCTAATAGTTCCCTAAATTAATACAACATCTAGATCTAGTTTGCGTACGATAACAATTCAGATCATATTAATAAATTTTACCAATTTTTTTCAGAGGTGAGATTAGTCAGATTTTGATTAAAACAACAGAGACATTTATCAATATAGATAGTTTAGATTTTTTTTTATAATAAAGAATTTTGTTTTCAAAAATAAATTTTACTTGAGTTACATTATGTTAGCTTATGTTGTGGTGAGAACAAATGTTTATATTATATATTCATAAAATAGTATTATCTATCTTTAGATCGATTTAAGAAAACCATTTCTAGAGTTATGAATAGTAGAAATATGAAATACTATAAAAATCATCACTTGGGGTGCCATTATTATTTCTTAAGTAGAATTTATAATAAATTTGGGTCATATCATTTATAAAACCATTTTATCCAGAATTATTTTAATAGTTCTTCAATCGATTGGTTAAAACTTCTTCTGCAAATATTTTTCAATAAATTGGCAGCATCAGTATTGTCACTAATTTATTACTTGAATGAACTATCAAAAAGAAAAAGTGACAGAGTAAGTATAAGATTATCCTTTTTACGTCGCAATAACATAAGTTCTTTAAGTCTTCTATGTCTATGGATTATGTTCCATATTCAAACACCTCTATGGAAAGTGAGGAAAAGACGGTAACTTACCTTGCGTCAGACAACAGAATATTGTTTGAACATTATTCTATACTAGCGCTTGCCCGCGGCTCTGTCCGCGTGCATATCGGTTATCGCGGTAAAAAGAAGCCGATGTTACTCGCTGATAGTGTAGCTTTCCATTGATGAAAGATTTTCGAAATCGGTTTAGTCGTTTAGGCGTGAAAGCATAACAAACAAAGAAACTCACTTTCACACTTATTATAATTCCGACCAAAGATGATGAATGAAACGTCTAATGGTCCTGACTGAAAGGTCCGGTCCAGAGTAAGTCTAGTATGAAATGCCAAACCTAGGTTTCCGATTTAAACCACCATGATCATTTTCATATCATAATTTATTGTAAACTGAATGTTTGCCGTGTTTATTTCCGGGAATTAGATCTGATATTTCGGCACTATTGCAAGCGCCACGATACCGGATGGAGAAGAATATAGGAGTTAAAGGATAAGGAAATAAACATGGTAATTACCCTCACATCAACAGCCTTAAACTTATATTATTGGAACTAAAATATGAATTAATGAGCGGGGTGGTAAAAAAATAACTAATCTAGATTCTAACTAGCTACCGAGTTATTCATAAAAAAAAAAAATCTAACAACTACTCTATACCATGTTCCGCGGTCCACTTCAGTGATGATTCACCGTATGAGTCAGCTACGGAAGCACCTGATGAAATCATGTGCTAAGGCCATTGACCTAGTGCATAGGCCATGCTCTGTTGCCTTACAGGTATGACGGAGACTCATACGAGACTGGGAATGCAAGGGGCGTGACTGTTGCGTCATTCTGTGATTGAAAATTGCATACATTTTAAGGTTTAACGCTTGAAATCTTCTCGAAGGAGTAAGATAGAAGGGCTCCTGTTTTTTTTTGTTTATGGCAAACTACATCGGCACGATGTCGCCAATTCTGCCCAAGTCTAATGTGTGATGAAGGTGCGTGTGTTTGTAGAGCCGTAGAGGGACAAAACGAAACCTCTGAAGGACATCACTGCACTAGTGTAGAGGTCTCATGACTCGTGCTACCCGGCAATTTGCAATAGACTGGAGGACAATCATTGCTTGTCATTGGTCATTGTCGTATAAATGCGAGATAAAAAAAAATTGACAGCCCTCATGATAGTTAAAGCCTACAGAAGGCTTTAACTATCATGGCTTTATACGTGACAATTATATAATGAAATCTCTTACCCTATACGCACTATTAACAGTTAAGATAACAAAAAGTAATAAAACATTATTTGTTATTTAAAAAAAATATTTATTAGACAGAAATGTTTCTTTATTGAACAATGCATATTTTTAAAGTAATTTTAAAATACGACTAAATTCTACAAGGCTACGATTTGCGGTGTTTAATCATTTCCGCTTACGGCTGCTTCCTGAAAATGGAGAAGAATTCATATTAAAATGATTTTAGAATAACAAATCACCTTATCACAGACTGTTCTACAAAAAGTGAGATTGAAATTTTACAATAGATTCATTGTCAATGCAGTTATTTATTATAAAACATTATTTTTGTTTCTAATAAACATTTCATAAACAATGTTGAGTAAATAATGTTAAAGATTTTCAATTTTTTATACAGCCTATGTTGTTAAATGTTGTATTCGAAAATAGATCGAGTATCAGTAGGTAAAATATTATACACAATTAGTACAAGCATAATAGACAAATGTAAAATAATCTCATGTGTGTTTAATATATTTAAAAAAATATGTGTACAGTTAGACGTAGTGTAGGACGCCCACAGGCCAGTTGGAGTGACGATTTGCGCAAGATGGCTGGCAGGAGCTGGATGCGAGAAGCCCAAAATCGATCTAAGTGCAATGGTAGAGACCTATGTCCAGTAGTGGACTGCGATAGGCTGATGATGATGATATGTACAGCTATTCACACCTCCAAATGTGACGATACTATCTTCTAGTAATATTTAACATATTTGTTAAGATTGTTTCTAACGATCAAATTGTTGCCCCAGTTTTTCTTTCTATTATAGAAAAATTAAGTATTTCACAATATCTACAAAGTATAATCATTATCTGTTCGTCCTGTCATCAATTCATTCCATGACCATTTATGTCCTAACAGCTGTTATTTTTTCTTTTAAAAACTGTTGGATGTAAAGATTGGCATTTCAATTGTCTGTATAATCAATTGAGACTGCCTCTGGCTATAATGCCTTCCAACCCATTCAATTTCGACAGATCCCGGTACATATTGCCTGGGTACAGTAATCTTCTTTATTAATTAAATTTCAATATTATCGACTTTAACACGCCTAAATCATGATAAATTGTAATAAGGTATTCTTCATTAAATAATTTTCTACTTTTTGAGTTGGAATATTTTCTTGAATATAACCAATTCAATTTTTTAATTAATTGAAATCGGCTTATTAGTTCGAAAATGGCGAAGACACCTAACAATTTTTTGTGAAATTGAGAATCCTGAGAGTAAAATACACGTTGACAATATTTACTACGTAGTACTGAAATTTATATTTTTAATGCAAAATAATAATTCAAATTAAAATTTTACGTTATCAGGTCTATAAAATTTTACAATATGCAGCCTATATTTAATGCGAAAAGTGTAATGCAAATAAGGCATAAAGGACAAGGTGCACATTAAAAAAAGGTAAAGCAGTCAAATCCGAAATAAGTCATAAAATAATTAAACATATGTATATATAGGTATAATGTCAAATATAGTAAAAAGTAACAAAATGTCATTCAAGTTAAAAAAAGTTTAGAAACCATTGTTCTGTGTAAACTAGCAAATGTAACTGACATCCGTTGAGGTACAAAAAGCCATAGAAACGCCCAATCGGTGTGCCTCAAAGCTCGAAACCGACATGACTCACAAACGATCGGAACGTAACAAATAAAAATGTTTCAAACGGAAAAACAAGTGATGATTTACCAAAAAACCAAGCAAAAGATGCACGCATAAATTTCGAAAATAAACCTAAATGGATCAGACTTAAGCGACTTTTAGAAAAAACTTGGTAAATTTTAAATTGGCTCAAAACTCTGTGGGTGGTGAATAGGCGGCAGGTTTGCAAACATGGATGGCATAAAGGAAGGCGGTGCCGAATTCTATACAAATATGGTAGTAACTAAAAGTTGAATAGGAGAAGCGGTAGTAAGTGACCTTTATGTGGAGACAAAGAGCCAAATGGCGGAGGGAAATGTCCCGCTGCGAGGAAAGAAAGGTATAACGTATTCACTGTTGACCGTTTGGTTATTTTGATGGGACTTTTTGCAGGGTTGTCACTTGCACGTTTTAAATAAATTGGAGAAAGTATTTAGGAATTTATTTCTTCTATTAGAAATATATAGCGTTAATTCATTTTTGAGTGATAATTAGTAGGCACTTTTAAAGTTTCGTTTTTAGTCGTGCTGTGTAAAACTTACTTTCAAAATAAAGATACACAGGCAGTGAATATCAAGGCCATGATCATAAAATGATTGAAAGATCCTCAGTATTTATCACAGATTCAAATGTTTTAATTTCAAAAAAATATTTTGTTTTAGATTTAATTCAAACGATAAATATTTTGCCAACCCTACGGCTTCATGCAGCAACCAATATTTATAGCGCACTGTCTACTAACTTCTTCATTATCAGTAGTACAATGTAAGCAACCATTTTACGGACACTATTCTTTTATTCGTCCATTTCAATATTTTATAGACGTAATTAGTTCCCGTCTCCACTTTCAAAGCTATTAATTGTCTACTGTAGCTAATTTGGTAAGACTTCAAAAGAAACAGGCTCTTTCTGTCAATCTCAGGCAACAATTATATTATTGGCAATAATGGGAGATAGTTTGCATAATATTGAATGCTTTATTATTTGTAATTCTTTACTTAGCTTCTTTTTTTCTTTTCTTTTGTTTCTTTTTTTATCTTCTATTTTGTGTATTGGTTGGGTACCCGCTACTAATTGTCGTATTGTTCATTTATACTCTGTAGTGTACTAAGTGATAATAATCTTAGCTAATTTTAAATTACGATGTAGACTGTTTGCTACACCCTACATAAATTTTGTCCTATTCAAATTTTAGTAAATTATTTGTTGTTGTGTTAATTTAAGTTCAGTAAAAAAAAAATAAGTTCATTTAAGTTTTTTCTGTTTTACCAGTTTTTCTTTAAATATTTCTTAATTTAGGTTTTAACAAACCTAGTCAACGAACAGATAAACAGAACATGCTCATTGTATCAATAATGTATATTTAAAACATTTTGAGACTTATGTAAATGATATTAAATTATATTTTAGAGGATCTAAAAACACACGTTTCAAGAACGAATTAAATGAAAATGCAGAAAATAGTTCCATTGTCCATTTCCTATCTCCAATATAATTTTAGATTCAAGATATCAAACATTGAAAACAAAAGATATGTACTTACGTTTTTAATTCTACAATCAGGAGTAGGTTTTATACGATTTGGATACATTTGATTTGGTTACAAGTGAAGTTTTTAAGTGTGTTATAAACTTTTTGCTAACGGATCATTTCCTAGCTAAATGTCTTTTTTTACTTTGGAAGTTGTCTTTTTTTTTTGTTATATATGTGATATGGATGTGTGTGTATTATTTGTGTATGGATAAACAATCTAATGTTAAAACACTCGTATAGCCTTCATGTAGCACGTTTACAAAGGAGGGTTAGGGAGAGTAGGCCACTTTCTATTTTCTTTTCTAAAAAGACAACTCCCGCATTAGGAATATATCCTGTGGCGAGGGGACTTTACAAACATACATGAAACGGACACAAAGACTCAGAACAATAATTTGTGGATCACAGAACGTGTCGTCCCATTTGGGAGCGGACCCACAACACTCAGCGTAGTAGTAGTAAGCAGCGTGGTGACCCACCTACCTACTACACATAAAGATCATAAAACACACAAAAAAAACATACTAAATATTCGAAAAAGGTGAAGCCAATAAATTGAAATGTGTATTTCGGATACACTTGTTAGCTGCTATAGATATTTTTGAGGTATAATGCCATGATTTTTGACGTATTAATGCTATGGTTGATACTGTGTATAATGTAACATGAGGCGGTACATGTTACTTTTGCTGGAATGACATATCACACATTCAATGACAGTTAAATTAGGGTTGGGACCTAAATTTCCTCTATTTGAAATACAATTGAATTTAGTATTGTTAATGGATTTCATCAGAACCTGATGTTATAAGATATTTGTTGCTGTAAGAAATATTAATACCAGTAATAATTAAATGTTATCAAATATTATCGCGTAAATTATCTTTGTTAAACATTTCTCATTCTGTTAGTTTGGTCTAATTGCGTTAGTCTTATTCAAGATTACTGACATTAATAGGTCGTCATACTGGAAGGCGGTGCAGTAACTATGAATATAAAAAAGAAAAAATAGTTTATAATATAGATTTGAATAGGAAATTAAACTATACATATATAGAATACAAAAAAAGTAAAGCAGTGAATCAATAAATTATTCAGGAGTCTATATTTTTTTTAACATAACTGCACTGAGGTGACCACTGAATCAATAATAATAATAGCTCTGGACCGATTCATACCAAAAAGCATTATTAAAAAAGCTAAACACTCTTACTTGGGCACCATGGACATAAACAGCAATATAAATAATATAACCAATAAGTTTATATTATAAGCAAATTTAAAACATCTCAAATAAAACGACGGATATCAACTAAAAACCTTTCAATACGAAACTTAATTGATATTAATTTAGCAGTAGTTGTTTAAGAAAAGTTAAATCTTCCACTTCATTTAATTCTAGAATAAACAAAATTAATATTAGCGGCGGCCGTCAGGTCGATCGGAAGCCTAGCCAAGCTTCACCAGTTCGAAAGTCAGCCAGCAAAAAATAGCTTATGAACACTTACTTTATAACACAAACTTTCGGATCCATAGACCACAAGAAGCTGTTGAGACTATTTTCACAGTTCATGTAGGCCATGCCGAATCCAAGTCCTCCTCCGATAAACATTGGCCACTTTTTGTAACCACGGAAGAAGAAACTGCCCATCATGCTGCCTATCAACAGTCCTGTAACTAAAGATAATAAAATGATATAAGTATTAATGAAAATATGTTTAGGCCTCCCCTTTCGTCTTGAAAACGGTCACATCCTTTAGTCTTTTTCAGAGATGCAATGCCGATTTTATGCCAAAATTTGTTAAAAAACTGTACAACTTCAGTTTAAGAAATTCATAAACTCAAAAAAAGGCTGAATTCTCAAAACTGAAATCCGATTTACATACTGCTTTGTTCACAATTTTGTTTTTTTATGTACACGTAAATGTACGTACGGACGTACTTTTGCTTTTTACATCTTGAAACCGGATTGATTTCAATCTATGCAAAAGATAATTTACTCTACTCTACTCTACTCTACTCAATTCTATTCTATTACCGGAGCCTAAACCCCTACTAGGCAGCTAGGCACTTGTGACTGAGTAGCATTTGTCTATAAGTAACGGTAGTAACCATCACGTGACTTGTCTGCTAGTTTGCCAAACTACGTCAAAAAAAAGAAATGATATTATGATTATTTTCTTTATCTTTTTTTAAGAACTACGCTTATATTTTTAAAACGATTTTACTTTTCTCCTTTACGTCTGATAATCCCGACTTGGGATTGGACGTTACCGAGAGACTCCATAGCAATGTTATATATAAACACAGTTGTTGCAGTGTTTATATGGAAAAAAGGTAGCCAAAAATACAGGTGAAAGTTTTATTTATTATTAAAACTAATACAAGGTACTAGCATAAATGGTGTTAACAATTGATATAAACTTTATTATTCCATGTTTTAATTTTACCTGAGGATTTGCTAGCAGCTTATCTGCCGACCAAGTGACTCCTGCTCAGCTTTTTGAATGCATTTTGTCTAGCATAAGGATTTGAGCAGAACGATATCAGGTGATATTCAAGAATTTTATGTATCTTAATGAAGTCAGTAACGTGTCTGTATGTATGTATATACGTTAGTATGCATGAATATGTGTTTTATGTATAATTAATTATTAAATTTTAGCTCTTTTGTTTTCATTAGTAATTAACCTGACAAAACTCATTGCACCGTTAACTAATATAGTCTCTCCGAAACATTTTGGCCTTGTTGCCTGGTAGAGTTTGCTCTTAGCAATAAGGCCGCCCTTCGTACATTACATATCTGACATTTTTAGGTGCCATACTACTTGTAAAACGGTGGACAGTTAAAGAGTTTTCTATCTATGTATCTATATCCTGAGTTATCATTTTACGTTTTACGAGTAATATAAAATTATTAATGCAATTGCAAATTTAAACAAGATGAGTAATGTTTTATCTTTTTTTCTTTCATTTGACTTATTGAGCTACGACATATTAGTACATATTTAGTATATTAGAAAAGTGTCATTTAAATGGAGAATATTTCTAGTTGTTGAAATTTACCAGTTTTAACACCGAAGTCAATGAAGCATGCCGAATATCTATCTTCAAAAGGTCGTTTATCTGCTGCATTCATCCCTCGCACTAAGTCGCAAACAACACCAAGGTTCTATGAAAAGACATTGCTGTTGTAATTAAGATAAATTAAATACGTATTTTAATGTCTTTTAAGAATTATTTATCACAAAACACCACAAAACAAATTTTGAACGATGGCATGTTATATTGACACTGACTTAGTTGTCTATGATAATTTTTATGCCAGTTTTTTGATATGGTTAAGAAATAGTTTTGTTGTAGCTGTTGTGTATTTTTATTGGCCTTTAGAACGGAGGTTCTTCATTCAACGTGTATATATTTTTTATAAAAGTAATATTTTATTTTTAAGTTAACCTTTTTGCAGTGTAGTTCGACTTTGGACTGTGAGATTTTTTTTTGGAACGGTTAGTAACGGTTGCCTACGAATTCAATTTTGAGGATATGGGGAATTTAAATACTGCAAAATGTAAGCTGGATTAGTTCAATAATTACCGTGAATTGTACTTCTAATAATTACTAAAGTACATGGTTGTATATTTCGTTATGCAATTAACAATTTCTCGCAAAGTTTTAGTTGTCAATAAGACATACTCAGTAGACCCACACATTAAGGTAATAAACTATTGTAAGAATCAAGATTTAGGTTCCCACAACAGGCAATTTTTCGTTAAACTTTTGTAACAAAAACCTATTATTACCTATTTGGTATAATAACAATTTTATAAAGAAAAATAATCCTATTTATTTAGGAACTGAGTGCGCCGCGCTGCGGCATCAGAACTATTTTTTAATCCTTTTTTTATAATCTTGAACTATTTTGACGATAATAGTCCTATCCATCAATATTTCTGCTGTATATTAAACTCTTCGATTTTCCAATACATTTCACGTGACCAGGTATCTAATTACGAATTAACTCTGCTAACCACCAAGGTGGATTAGAGGGATTATGACTAAGGCCCAAACACAATTTATGAGGTTATTAAGCTTTCAATCACAAATCAAACGTTGATTACATTATCTTGATTAGGTAATCTAATTAATTAATTAATCTGATTTTTGTATTATTTTCCTGTAAATTGTTGGGAATAGTTTGAAACTTTACGTAAACCTAAACCAGTAGAAGGCTTTATGAGAATATTTACTATCTATTCGAATGAAAACAATACCACTATATTGCTTAATACAAAATTGCAGCTAAAAATGTCATGTGTATATTTATTTATGACTAAAAAAAAACAATAAAAAACACAAATATTGTCCTTAATAAAAACTCATAATGTTACACACCATAATATAAGGCCCTATGCCCCAAAATTCAAAGAAGGTATTCAAAGAACGACAACAAACTTATCTCTGAGTTCTAGGTTACTATGGGTGTTGATAGTCACTTACCGTCTGCTCGTTTGCTCTCTGTTAAGAATACGGAGTGTCACCGCCACTGTTTATCCAGCGGGTGTCGTAAGAGCCGACTAAGGAGACCACGCCGGATAACAGCACTGCTAAGAGAAGGAAAACTTGCCACAAACCCTATACCAACCCGTCTGGCCAGCATGGTATAGTAGGCCAAAACCTCCTTTCCAAGAAGAGGTCTATGACCAGCAGTGGACTATTAAAGGCTGTTGATGATAATGATTCATTTTTATGATTAAATCTTAATCATTTTATTTTGTGTGTATATATGTAAATTGAATAGAAATTGCCTAGCCTGCATTTCCCGTAGCTTTAGCCGTAGTTTTTTCTCGTAAGTCATCAAAGCTACTTGTCTAAAGACGAAATCAATAGCGTATTATAAGATGTAAGGTGGACGCCTGCTTCAATGCTTAAAATATAGATTGGTCGTGACACTTGCAATGTTCATTTCAAAAGGCGCATGTTGTGCTGTACTTGTCTTTATTATAAGTTGGTTGATATGATGGTGCGATGATTTAATAAAATGATTTTAAGCATGGTGCGTGTTAAGCAAAGCGAGTGGGGTAGATAGCGATTGGTTGCGGGTTCACATCCTACTCACTCCAAACTTGACTCTATATACCGCAATTGTATTAGTAGAATTTTGTTAAAATTTATTAAAATTTGAACTAAGTAACAACTATTTAAAAAGTATTAGACGTCAATTTAGATATACTTCAGTAATTTGTATAACAATACTTTATAGCATCGTGGAGCTAATCTAATAACTAGTAGTAGGAAATTGTAATCTATGCCTTATATAATGACACTTAAATAAATTATAGTTTAAAAAAACTATAAAAAAATACGCCTTTGGAACTAGCGGAACTAAAAAGTAGTAGATCATTTTCTAGTTCAAAAAGAAAAATCATTTTATCTTAAAAATCCGTGGGGCGCTAGATCTCAATTTCTGTGTCATAAAATTATTGATAGATATTGGTAAAAGTAAAGATATATTTTCGAAAATATCTTGAAGAGCACCACTAATACGTACAATACTAAATTTCATGGTAATCAACACTTGTGTTTCTCCGTATATACCTATAACATTTCTCATAAGATTTCTTATATGGTATAGCAGATGGGTCACCTGGAGGCCAAGTACGAGTTTATATTCACATCTACTCGATCGTCACGGTGACCGCGTTCGGCGCTGCCATTGGCCCACACTGAAATCTTCATCAATCGCAACGCAGCACGCGCGCTGTCGAGAGCGAGTTGATGTAAAATAAACTCGCACTAGGCCCTCTGATGGTAAGTGACTACTACGGCCCATGGACATCTGGAATTCAAAAGTCACAAGGGCGTTGCCCAGCCAAGAATCAGGGTGAGCAGGGGTTTGGGTTCCATTACTTTAATTCACTCGGTGAAAAATAAGAAAGAAATACTTAAAATCGCCATAGAACTCACTGAAACTACCAAAAATCGACGAGTTGATAAGGCCGTGTAACATTTAGTTCACCTCGTGCAATACGTTTCTTTCAAGAAGATTTAAATAAAAACAAAAACAAGCATTTGTAATTGTACAAAAACTGTCTCAGTACAAACATAAAAGGAAATGAATAATTTAAATAGACTGAATTTTAAAACTATTTAATAAATCGATCTAAGTGGTGTGCAAGAGGCCTATGCCCAGCAGTGGAATGCGATAGGCTGATGATGATGATGAATAAATTGCTCATATATTACAAAGCATTACAAACATTATTACAAAGCACTACTACCATTCACTGTTCAGCGCAGAATTTGATGTCAGTTATCTCACTATAATGCCAAACTTTCTCGAAGAACATTCGCTTTTATTACCTAACTGCAAACTCCTAAATAGCTCACAAGCAAAACAGAACAACACACAATTCTGTTAATGTTGGAATCTACCATACCTATAATACAGCGTATTCACTACACAGGCATTCAATCTAAATACAGCGCACTTTCAATTTAAACCAAATCACACATAATTGATCCGGACTAAACCAGTAATAGTGATGTTTTTAAATCTGATAAATAAATCAAGTATGTAAATAATAAAATAAAAGAGTTTCTAAATAAAATATTTAGAAATAACTGTAGCGTACCTAATCGTTCCAACTATGAAAATGATTAATTCAAATATCAGTTGGGATACTTCTATTGTACCATAATAATATGTACATTATTAGAGAAGACTATGAGTGCAAAATACACTCACTTCACCGACCACGGCCCTAATGCTGAAAGTATTTTGGCAAGCAATACCACATTTCAATTTGAGTACACAATATACTTACCAGTATGAGAATGTGTAAAATTTTCTACATTTTTTTATAATAAATTCAAACACTGTTATTATTTAAAACTCTCAGTTTTTTGAAAAGTTGAAATGAAATTGACGTAAATAAATATACATAAATTTTGTGATACATAAAGATAACACTTTATATTCATTAGTTTCCAGGAAAAAGGGCTGTAAGTTAGTTTCGTGATATACTATCCACTCTATCCAGTATTCAATTTAAAATTGTAGTTCATAAAAAATTTGGTCACACATTCTCCATTTCCTCCGCGCAACTGGCCGTTATGGCAGGTGGAGAAGAAAACCCGGCGGCGACGAATTGGGTCCGAGTTTAGGTTGTCCTCCCGGAGCCCGGCACGATATGCCGCCTCCGTCGACACGGTGCGGTAACCGCGTATGGCTGGTCCTCGCACATGACGGTATGCTCCTCTAAGTAGTTTGCCACCAGCCGCCTCAGGTAATCTAGCACCTTATGATAGTGGAAGGCTTCCCTGATGCAGCTGAATGGCAGACTATTGAATGCGTTGGCAATGGCCAACGACACCGTCAACCGAACGCCACGGCTCACCGCCTCTTCGGTCAAGCAGTCTGGTTACCAAAGCACAGGCTCTGCCTAGTTTGGAATCAGACAGCCCGTGTGTGAGATGTTTGAGGTACATTATAAAAAAAATTAGGCCATATGGCAGGCCACTTCATTGCCACGTTTTTTATACTACGAAAAGAAACGACAGGTTCAATGAGACACGTGATCTATTTCTGAAAAAGTCGTTACGTCACAGTATACCAAATATTAATATATTCGAGTATCGGTACATTCCCATCCCTAGGAGTAATAGACAAAGGATTTAGTGCCAAACTAGCTGCAAGCCTAATGATTACCCGGACAGGGATGCCACGGTCCATAATACTACCTGCATGTCTTATCAAAGCGGCTTCTACGTAACGAAGCAAAATTGACAGCCTTGATTGAATTGGGAATGGTTGTCATTAAAGATGTCATGTGATGTGTTGATTTAGCGAATATTATCAATATGGATCTAGTTATATTTGGTCTATTTGTGTATCAATTCATCTGCGAAGGAGTGGCTTTAATTTCAAATCATTTTTCCTTTCAAAAGAGGATTCCTACAAAAGAAAACATTCACTACTTAATCTTAAATGACAGATGGCGTATTGGTTTAAGCGGTTACCTCACTGTTTCTTACTGTACTGAGTGTTGTGGGTTAGATCCTCATATATGGGACAACACATGTGTGATCCACGAATTGTTGCTCTGAGTCTGGGTGTTATTGTGGCCGTTTTATGTATGT